GTTTTTTGCTATAAGCTAGTGACCACTGTTCGAATAGTAAAGTAAGAAAATTGGAATTAGGTGTCAGGTATAAGAAGATATTTCACGATACAGTCTTTGTGTTTCATCCCTTAGCTGTAAACACAGACCGAACTATGCATGCGTGTAGGAGTGGGAATCGTCAGTACAGCCTCCTACCCGCCATGTATTGAAAGGACATGTAACTAATTTGCAAGAAGGATAAGTGAAAGAAGGGGGAGAGAAAAGGAGAAAAAGTGTAATAGCATGAAAGTAATAAGAGTGATAAAGTAGATAGAAGAGGAGGAAACTAACATATGATACGGGTAGTAATTCTATGTAATTAGATTTCGATCCCTTGATCCCGTGAATTATGACTGTATGGTCAAATACAGGTTGAGGTTTCAGCTCGATAATCTAGAAAGCTATTTTCCTGAAAGTTTTGGTGTGTTTGCTGCGGTGGGGAAGCAAAAACAGATTTCGTTTAGTTTACTCACGTAGGTAGTAGCTGCGATGTTATTTTAGACAGCGTTTTAGGGTTTATTTTTATTCTGGTTTAACTTGTTGTCTGTTTAGATTCACGGTAAATTTCCATTGCAAATCAGCGGATTTCAGTGGCAACGATGTGCCACTGCATATTTCGGTGCGTTTCGACGAAGGCAAGGTTTGTTCAAGTTTTTATTGTTTTATCTCTTTTTTGCCTTTGATTTATTGAATTCGTGAAAAATCAAGCAAAACCTCTGCACTCGTACATTTAAGACAAATGGCAATACTGGCTGAAAAGTAGTAAAATATGACTACATTAAACTATTATTATGTGTGATGATTTTTGCATATCGGTTTAGTGCAGTATAAAAGACCACCTTCTGCTGAGCTCGATTTGACAGTTCAGATCCACCGCTGAGGGAACAGTTCCTCAACATTGATTCGTTTCGATGGTAGATTGGTACTTGCATAGCTCTGTCACTGAGAAGCCCTTCATAGTCTTGTTACTGGGTGTTTACCACTGGTTGATTCAGGGAGGAGGGGAGGGAGCGATAGGCCTTTGGGCACAGATATCAGTCCAGAAACTGAAGAAAACTCTCTTTCGCACACCTCGGCCTTCCCCCTCCCCTTCCCCCCGTCTTCCCCCTTACCAGAAGCCACCGTCCTTCCCCACGAGCCCACCCTGGAACTGCTCACGGTGATTACTGCTGGCAAAGTATACCACTGCCATTTTTCATTGCTTTACAAACGGGTAAAAATTGCGGAAGGGGGAAAAGGAAGATGGAGAGACCAGGAAGTTTGATTTTGGTCTGAATAACAGTACACATCGACTGATTCTTGCTTGTTTCATTCGCAGCTTTAGTACTTACAAGCTGTCTAGGATACCCAGTCGAGTTCTGTTACAATTAGAAAGTGGTATTTTCTGATTTGCTTTAATC